GTGGTCTGTAGCACAGAAGAAAAGCGCTCAGCTTAATCAAAGGGCGATGCATGTTCTTCAGGCGGCAATGAATCCAGACGAGGCTGACCAAGTCGAAAACTGTGAAACAACCAAAGAAATCTGGGAAGCTTTGGAAAGCACCTACGAAGGTACCTCTAACATTAAAGAATCTCGTATTGATTTACTGATGCATGATTACGAGTCTTTCAATATGCTTGAGGGGGAGGGAATACATGAAATGTATTCGCGATTTACTGTTCTTATCAATAAATTGAAAGGTTTAGGTAGATCTTTTCAAAGTAAGGACTTAAATCGCAAAATTCTTCGGTCTTTGCCCAAGGATTGGCTTCCTAAACGTACCGCTATTGAAGAAGCTAAGAATTTATCTACTTTGCCTACTAATCAACTTATAGGTTCGTTATTGAGTCATGAACACGTCCTTAGACAGGTTGGGCAAGAAGATGAGAAAAGAAAGAAAAACTTAGCTTTTAAAACTAAAATTGCTGAGTATGAGTCAGATAGTGAGAGTGATTTTGAAAAGGAATTTGCCTTAGTCAGCAAGAAGTTTCATCGTATGCTTAAATACAAGAATCAAAAACATCAGTCAAATGATAGTAGGTCTGCTTATTTTGATCATAACAAAAATGTTTTTCAAGAAAGGCTGCCTCAACAGCAGACCAGATTTGTTGAGATAGGTCAGCAAGACAGGGAACCTCAGGCGTGTTACAGATGTGGGAAGTTTGGCCATATTAGAGCTCAATGTCCACAAACTTTAAGAGCCAAAGAGAAGGCTATGAAGGCATCATGGAGTGACTATGACTCAGAGCCAGAGGAATGTAAGTCTGATGAAGAAGCCTATATGGCTACCAAATGCACAAAATCAGAAGATGAGACTACATTTCACTCAGACTTAAGTGACCATGATGACAAGAAATGGTACTTAGATAGTGGTTGTTCACACCACATGTCTGGTAAGAAATGCTTATTTTCTTCTCTTAGACCTAATAATGGGGGTAAAGTGTTTTTTGGAGACAATGGTCATGGGAATATTGTTGGTTGTGATAATATTGGAAAGTTCCCTGCTCCATCTTTTCGAGATGTGTTACTTGTTGAAGGGTTAAAACACAATCTCTTATCCATAAGTCAACTATGGAGTAATGGAAATCAAGTTGCTTTTAAAGCAGACCATTGCATAGTTGAAAGAGTCAGGGATGGGAAAATAATGTTTGTTGGAAACCGAATCAATAACCGAATCAATAACATGTATGTTATTGATTTAAGTGACTTAGGTGCTTTTAATGAAACGTGCTTTGTTGCTTCAAACCATCTGTAAATGTTAAGGCACAGAAAGATGGGCCATCTTAGTTTAGCTAAGCTTGTGGCTCTGTCTAAGTCAAGCTGTGTTCGAGGCATGCCTCTTTTAAAAGAAAAAACTGATTTCTTTTGTGAAACGTGTGTTTTTGGCAAACACACCAGAAAATCTTTCAAACCCAAACCTGATATTGTCACTAATTGCACATTTGATTTGATCCACATGGATTTGTTTGGTCCTTGCAATGTGAAAAGTTTGGGTGGAAAGAACTATGTCCTTGTGCTTGTTGATGATTACTCTAGGCATACCTGGGTTTATTTTCTAGCTCATAAGGATGAAGCCTTAAATAAATTCAAAATCTTTGTCAAACTTTATAGTAGTGGTCATATCAAAACCATAAAAAGTGACAATGGTGGAGAGTTTATCTCGGAAGAGTTTGAGATTCTATGCAATGAATCAGGGATAACTCATACCTTTTCAGTCCCTCGAACTCCTCAACAAAATGGAGTTGTCGAGAGGAAAAATAGAACTATCATAGAATGTGCTCGCACTATGCTGCTGGAATTTAATTTTCCTAAACACTTTTGGGCTGAGGCAGTTAGCACAGCATGTTATGTTCTTAATAGAGTTCTTATTCGAAAAGGTATTGTTAAAACACCTTATGAGATTATGAAAAATAAAACTCCTAATCTGTCTTATCTTCATCCGTTTGGATGTTCTTGCTTCATCCTTGATACCAAGGATCATCTAGGGAAATTTTATGCTAAATCTGACAAGGGTATTTTTCTGGGATATTCTATAAAAGGTCAAGCTTATCGTGTCTATAATACTCGTACCAAGAAGGTTGAAGAGTCGGTTCATGTTGTGTTTAATGAAACTAACTCAAATCTTGAGACTTCTGAACAGGATCTGCCTATATATGATATGCTTGAGCTAACCAGAAATGTAAACAGTGAAAGACAGGAGTCAGATCCTGATCCTACAACTGCTGAAGTCACTGAGAACTCTAAAAGGGACACTCAAATGGATGCTGGTTCTAGCAAACCTTCAGCACCACCTCACATACAAAAGCGACATCCTACTGATCAAGTTATAGGTGATCTCAATGACAAACTAAGAACTCGAGGTAAGTATACTCCTGGACAGTATGCATTCGTTTCACAGTATGAACCTAGAAATTACAAAGAAGCTTTAAAGGATGAAAAATGGTTACTTGCCATGCAAGAAGAATTAACTCAGTTTGAGTATCTTCATGTGTGGGATTTGGTCCCTCGTCCTTTAAATCAGTCTGTGATTGGAACTAAATGGATATTTAGAAATAAAACTAATGAAGAGGGTCTTATTATTCGTAATAAAGCACGTTTAGTTGCTCAAGGTTATAGCCAAGAGGAAGGCATTGACTATGATGAAACGTTTGCTCCTGTGGCACGTTTGGAGTCTATTCGTTTGTTATGTGCTTATGCCTGTCATATGAACTTTCCCCTGTTTCAAATGGACGTCAAAAGTGCCTTCTTGAATGGGGAAATTCATGAAGAAGTTTATGTTTCTCAGCCACCTGGCTTTGTTAATCATCTCTATCCTGATCATGTTTTTAAATTAAGAAAGGCTCTATATGGTCTTAAGCAGGCACCTCGGGCCTGGTATGAACGTTTAACTGCCTTTCTTCATGATCAAGGTTTTAAACAAGGGTCAGTTGATAAAACCTTGTTTACTAAAAGAGAGGCTAATGATCTTCTTTTAGTTCAGATATACGTGGATGACATTGTGTTTGGATCAACCAACTCAAATCTATGTGCTAAATTCTGTAACTCCATGAAACAGGTCTTTGAAATGAGCATGATGGGAGAGTTACAATACTTTCTCGGACTTCAAATCAAACAGACCTCTCTTGAAACCTTTATCTCGCAATCTAAGTATATCTCTAGCATGTTAACTAAGTTTGATCTCATGTCTTTGAACCCCTCTCCTACCCCTATGGCAACCACTGTCAAATTAGACAAAGATGAGACTGGTTCCTCGGTTGATGAGTCTAAGTTTAGGGGTATGATTGGCTCTCTTTTGTACCTAACAGCAAGTCGGCCTGACATACAGCAAAGTGTTTGCTTATGTGCTAGATTTCAAGGCAATCCTAAGGAAAGCCATTTAAGTGTTGTTAAACGTATATTTAGATATCTTAAAGGAACTTCTGATGTAGGATTATGGTATCCCAAAAATGATAATTTTGATCTTGTGGGATATAGTGATTCGGACTTTGCTGGTAGTTTAGTTGACAGACACAGCACTTCAGGCAGTTGCCAATTTGTTGGCACTTCTCTTGTGTCTTGGTCTTGCAAGAAACAAGCCACGGTTGCTCTTTCAACCGCAGAAGCAGAGTACATTGCTGCTGGCAGCACTTGTACTCAACTTCTTTGGCTTAAAAATCAACTGTCTGATTATGGTCTCATTATCTCAGCTATCCCTTTGTTCTGTGACAACACGAGTGCTATTTGTATCTCTAAAAACCCTGTTCATCACTCACGAACAAAACACATAGATATTAAATATCATTTTATTCGTGAGTTGGTTCAAACAGGGTGCATTGCTCTTCATCATATCAGTACTGAGTATCAACTTGCAGATTTATTTACCAAACCTTTGAGTACTGATCGATTTACTTTCCTTTGCCATGAAATTGGATTGCGATCTGGTCAATCCATCTCAAATTTTTCGATACCTTAATGGTATCATACCTTTTCTTGCTTGTTGGCTTTCTGTTTTTTTAATTTCCTTCTTTGTTTATTTCCTTGTGTTTCTTGTTCTTGTTTAATGTCGTGTTTCTTTCCTTTCTGGTGTCTGCTGGGTCTATTTATTTGTGAGTTTTTGGTCTGTCTTGTATTCTTCCTTCGTGAGTGTTCTGCTTTAGTGTTTCTGAGTCTTCCCCATCATGGCCTACTCCTTTGCTCTCACTTACTCAGGAACCTCCTTTCATGATCCCCTTTACCTCAACTATCATCGTCATTCTCAGTCATTTGCTCAGTGTCCTATTTCTCCTAATCTCCTTGTTCCTTTCCCTGGTCTTGATGTTCATGGTCTTGAAGTTCGTCACTGGATACGCAACCTTGGCTGGGATTTTCTTCTTGAAAACCATCCAGCCTTGATTTGTCCAGAGGCGGTTCGCTATTTCTTCTCAAACCTTAGGTACTTTGGATTGCAGTCTAGGACTCTCTCGTCCCTGGTTTTTGGTCATCTCATGACTATTCCTGCTGATGATATTGGTCGTCTTCTTGGTTTCCCTGCTATTGGAGAAAACCTAGCTCACGAGTCTGAACTTCCCCTTTTCAACTTCAACATTGCTGAAGAAGCTGTTCAGTTGACTGGACATCTTCCTGACGACGACTCGACCTTACCAGTGGCGATTCTCCTTCCTTCCATGCGTGTGTTCCACTACTGCATCACCAGAGTTTTTGTTCCTCGTTCCTCTAGGCTTGATCGTGTCATTCCTCTGGATCTTTGGATTATGGCTCATGCTGTTGCAGAGGTTCCTCTTGATTATTCTCATTTGTTCTTTGGGGCTGTTCTTCCATTCATTGATCATAATCACCCCGACCCTCTGCCTTTTGGAACCTTGATCACGCGTTTGCTGCTGTCTCTTCCTCTCAACCTCAATGCCTACCGGTTTGAATCTCCTACTCACTGGTTGACCGTGGATATGATTCTTGACGTTCTCGATATTGCGATTGAGGGAGAGGTGAACCTGATCTGGATTAGCGACTCTGATTCCTCTTCAGACTCTGCCAACTCTGTGGATGGTGATAATGGTGATGCTCCTGGTGGCGCTTCTGATGTTTCTGCTCCTCTTGAGTTGTTTGCTGCTGCTCTTCAGGAGCTTTATGGATCTGATTCTGATGTTCCTAGTCTTGCCTCTTGACTCGACTCTACTGTCACTCCAGGAATTGGCCAAGTGTAACCACTTCCTAAAGCGTAGTATAGCGGGTTTAGGTTTAATTATCAACCCGGGTCCTAGATCTGATGACTACTTAGTGAATTCTTGTTATCTAGCAATGAAACTGGAATGCAAGTCTAACTAACAGACTAACAAAGCAGGTAAACGGTTGTATTCAAGTTAAGAGAGGTCACCCGGATATGGTTCCCCCTAGACTGCAGTTAAGCCGGATTGTAATTACCAAGTTCAGTTTCTATGAAGATTATACTGCGGAAGGTTCTTAAACAGCCTGAAGTCTCGACTAAAGGTCTTCAGACCCTCTCAATCTGAATCTCTAGCGGGCGACTAACCTCCACTGGAGTAGACAGATTGAGGCCCTAAGAACAAAACCTCCACTACCGGAGTAAATCCGGTACAGAATAGTGAGTTGGTTCCTCTACTAAAGTCACCAACTCCCTACCTTCAATCAAGGATACTCTATTAACCTAGGCAGATATTCTCATTCTAGGTTAAAGCAGAAACAACAGGAATTTGATCAGGATTCAAGTCATTCAATCATTAAAACCTCAATCGAATATAATCAATCACAGAATCAGTACTTGGGTTCATACAATCAAAGCCTAACATACAAATCTAGGGTTCTCCATACCCAGATGAATGGGAGAACTACTCCATAGAGAAGAAAACAAAAGCAGAATCAGACACGGAATTCATACTGCGAAGGATGGATTCCTGCTTCTGGACGTTGATCGGCAATTCTCCAAGCTCAAGCTGGCCTCCAATGGTGTTGAAGATCAATCTAGGGCACTTGGGAACTCTTGCTCATCACTTTCTCTCTCTAGGAATCGCTCTCTTTCTCAAAAACCCGAATCCTCTCGAATTGTGGCTGAAATTCTGCTTAAAAGGAGAAAATCCCGACTCACACGGCCAGGGTGGCACGGCCGTGCAGCTCACCCAGTTGCCCGTGTGAGTCAAAACGCATCGTTTCATTTAGTTCAAATTCCAGGCTCTTTGCACGGCCAGAATGGCACGGCCGTGTGGACATCCCCTCTTGCCCGTGTTTGCTCTCGCAGAATGTGGCACGGCCAACCCGGCCACTAGCACGGCCGTGTCGATCCTCTGCTCTGCCCGTGTCTGCTCTCGGCGAAACTCGCACGGCCAGGCCATTCCTTCACACGGCCGTGTGAACATCAGGGCAGCCCGTGTGACCTCCTTTGCGACTTGCCTCGCGCCCGAACTTCGCCCAATCGACCCCGAACTCGCTCCTAAACCTTCATTCACTTGCCAAGACCTGAAATATCACTAACAAGCACAACCTAGCGTGAAATCGGTCTAAAACACGAGAAACCACCTCTCAAACGGTGTAAGAACAGGGGTGAAAACATGTGTAACTAACGGTCTATCAATCTCCCCCACACTTAACCGTTTGCTTGTTCCCAAGCAAACCTAACTCAAACCAATGCAACTCTCCAGACCTCTATATCAACAAACAACCCAGATCGTAGGTAGAGGACTTCCTAGATCATTTAGCAGCTTACGAGGTCAACCGACACACAAGTCATCTCAAAGCTTCTTATCGAGTCGGCATCATGGCAAACAGTGAATAGAGGACAAATGAATTGTGGATGAAGAGATTCTCAAAAACAAAGGATCATGGACTCACATTTTTTAAGGTGCTCTATTTTCTTCTTGAAGATGGTTGAAACCCCCTTTTTTTTCTGTTTTGCTTGTTTTCTGTTATTTTTCTTTTCTTTTCTTTTCAAGGGTCCCAACCTGCTCTTACCGGCCATGCCAGGAGCGGATGTCTCGAGCCTCGTGCGGGGGAAAGACATGTAAGGGGGCTGGAGGTAGTAGGTGGAAATTGGGAACGGATTCCCGTCTCCCCTTACACACTTTCGCCCTATTTGCACGGGAGACGTTATTTTGAAGCACATTTTCGAGCACCTGTTAAACTCAAAACATGATACAAGAGTCCATGACAGGCAGAGAATCCACAACATCACACAATTTAAGGGTCCTAAGATCACTAATTCACTCAATCAACCAACACAATATGAAGAAGAAATGAGACTTCTTAAATGCATCAACATCCTCCATAGTGCTACACTACCTCCCTAGGTTGCATATTACTATAAAGACTGTCAATTCAAAGCATACTGAGCAGGCAATTGCAAGGAAATACGTACTTGGAGCCCTCAAATTTAAAAATTTGGACAGTGGACTAGGCTCCAAGCACACAAACAGATCTAATGCAGTCAAAAGATAAACATCCCCCCACACTTAAGATCGACATTGCCCTCAATGGAGAAGAGGGAAGGATAAGGGAAACGATGTTACCGGTATACACGGACTGCAGGAGACTGGAAACGGGCCAGTCGGGACAAGCACAGCCGAAGGGAAACAGAAGAGCTCATACACAATATGTTAGGTTCAATGGTCAGCCCAATAAAATATCATCCAAACCAAAAGAAAACAAACCAAACCCAAACCGGGTTACAATCCGACTCAAAACACAAGAAAGAAAATCAAACCGTGGTGGGGTTGCCTCCCCACAAGCGCTTCTTTACCGTCGTATTAGCTGGACGCCCATGGCGGATACTCAGGGCGGTGCAGGAACAGGTGCCTCCAAGAGCGGATCCACGTCGCTCTTGAGGTACAGCTTCAGGTTGTGGCCATGCACCCGACGGATGCGACCACCCTCATCAGTCAGCTCGACCTGCCCATCTGCAAGATGCAGGAGAGCGAGTACCCAGACGGCCAGGGTGGTCGTGGTGCAGGAGGTGGGACCAGCTCATAGTGGTCTCCACTCTTCTTCCGTGCAGGCTTAGCAACCTGCTGCTTCGGCCGCCACTCCTCCTTGAGCTTTTTGTTCGGAGGCGAGGCTGGATGGAGTGGCGGCGAAAGAATGATAGGAGGGTCCTGCAAAATAGGAGGTGCAGAAGGGTACACGACAGACTCGTGTACCTGATCAGACATAGCATGCACAGGCGTGACAGCAATCATAGCACAGTGATCAAACTCAGTCACAGAAAAAGTAGCCTGTTCATCCCCAGCACGCAAGATCAACTTACCATCATGCACATCAATTAGTGCCTTGGCGGTGGCAAGAAATGGCCTACCTAGAATCAAGGGCACATCCACATCCTCATGTATATCAAGAATAACAAAATCAACAGGATATGTGAATGCACCAACACCAACAAGCAGATCCTCTATGATTCCCCTAGGATGCACAATAGAACGATCAGCTAATTGAATGCTCATCCTAGTAGGGCTAAGTTCACCTAGGTCTAGCATTTTATACAACTTATATGGCATGACGTTAATGCTAGCGCCTAGGTCCGCCAAGGACTTTCCTACATGCATGCTGCCAATAGTAAGAGGGATAGTAAAACTCCCTGGATCCTTGCGCTTCTCGGGCAGCTTGTTCTGCAGGATAGCAGAACACTCCTCGCTCAGCATCACTGTCGAGAGATCCCCAAGTTTCTTCTTGTTGGTGCAGATATCTTTCATGAACTTGGCATACTTGGGCATCTTCGACAGTGCCTCCATGAACGGTATGCTGATATTGAGCTGCTTCAACATTGCCATGAACTTGGCAAACTCAATCTCCAGCTTGTCCTTGTGTAGGCGAGTGGGGAAGGGAAGCTGGGGTACATGCTCCTTAACCACTGGTTGTGGCTTGGGAGCAGGGGCTTCTTTCTCCACCCGCACTTCTGCATCGTCGGCTGGAAGTGCTGAAGCAGGCAGTGGTTCCTCCTGTCTGGCCGGGACAGGATCAGCAGATATGGTCTTACCGCTCCTGGTAAAAATGGCATCCAGCTGCTGATGCTGGTGAGGATCTCGAGGATTCGGAACAGTGGTGACAGGCAGAGTCCCCGGTGCCCTGGTAGTGTTTTGGCGGGCCAAGATGCCCACCTGGGTCTGCAGATCCTGCAAAATGGCACCCTGGTTCCTCTGACCTGCCTCCAGTGAGGCTACACTCTGGTCCAACCTCGTGATAGTCGCCTGAGTGCTCGTCATGAATGAAGCTAGAATGTTTTCCAGCTTCGTCATCCTGTCATCTGGGGCTGGAGCTGCTTCTGGCTCGGCAAACTGGCGCTGGGGCTGCTGGAATGGCTGCTGTGGAACTGGCCCCTGTCGAGCCTGGTAGGGCTGCCTCTGCTGAAAACCACCTGCTGGTGCTGGGAAACCAGGTGGTTTAGTGGTGTTGCTGCTCCAGGCAAAGTTGGGATGCTGGCGCCACCCCTCATTATATGTGCTACTGTATGGATCGAGGCGCCTCGCATTGGCGATGAAGGCCAACTGCTCCTGGGGTGTGGTAGACTCCCTCATAGCCTGGCAGTCCTCCACTAGGTGATTGGAGCTCTCACACCACTGACACTGAGCAACTGGAGGTGTAGCCAAACCTCTGCCCGGAATCAGACTGTTAGGCTGCTTCAATGTCTGCACTAGCTCAGCTACCTGCTGCTCGAGCCCGGATCTGGTCTCCATGGCGTGCACACCACGGTCCCGAGACTGTCTGCCTCGACTACCCTGTCCCCAAGAATGATCTCTGGCAGCCAAAGTACTGATCATCTGGTTCAGCTCGGGTGGAGTCTTGGTAAGAATATCCCCTCCTGGGCATAAAGACTCAATCACCCTCTGGCTATCTGGGGAGAGAGCGCTGTAGAAGTTCCCCACAGTGAAAGCATCACTAAAGAAATGGTGGGGGCACTGCCAGAAGTAGCCCATGTACCGCTCCCAAGCATCACGGAGTGACTCATCTGGCTCCTGGCGGAAGTGAGTGATTTCCCGCTGAATCTCTGTAGTCTTCGATGCCGGATAGTACCTGTGCACGAACTTGTCCGCCAGATCGTCCCAAGAGGTGATGGACAATGGGGGCTGGGTCTCCAACCACCTCTTAGCATTCTCCGCCAGAGAATGGGGGAAGAGATGAAGGCGGATCGCATCATCGGGAACACCGTTCAGCTTGAACCCGTTTGTCAGCTGCAGAAAATGGGACAGATGTACCCTGGCCTCCTCATCCTTCAAGCCATGAAACTGGATCGAGGATGTGATGAGCTGAATCCAGCATGGCTTGATCTCGAAGTTGTTTGCTGGGATCGGCGGGTAGAGGATGACCGGGCGGATGTCAGCAATCCGAGGAGTGTAGTAGTACTCCAAGGTGGGACCCGGGTGCGGTGGATGATGAACTCCATGGTCCTGGGGTATGGGGTTGTTCCCCAGGACCTGATTCACCGGGGGAACCTGCTGTGGATTCCCCTGGTGTTGGTTGTAGTCTCCGTCCATCCTGTGCTCTTCTTCAGAATCGCTGCTCAGGTGGCCGTCTATGCGCTCTTCCGTAGCCAGTCTAGCTCGCTGTTGTCTCCTGAGCTGGCGACAGGTGCGGTCAATCTCTGGATTCAACGGCAGTAAACCTCCCGACTGGCTACGGGTCATGCACTACCTGCACACACTCAAGCAACAAACCCGTGAAGGCACAAGTGGGACAAAGAAAACAAAGCAAAAAGAAAAGCTAAATTAACAGAAATCACTTTTCTTCAACAACCTAGCCGTCCCCGGCAACGGCGCCAAAAACTTTACTCGACTCTACTGTCACTCCAGGAATTGGCCAAGTGTAACCACTTCCTAAAGCGTAGTATAGCGGGTTTAGGTTTAATTATCAACCCGGGTCCTAGATCTGATGACTACTCAGTGAATTCTTGTTATCTAGCAATGAAACTGGAATGCAAGTCTAACTAACAGACTAACAAAGCAGGTAAACGGTTGTATTCAAGTTAAGAGAGGTCACCCGGATATGGTTCCCCCTAGACTGCAGTTAAGCCGGATTGTAATTACCAAGTTCAGTTTCTATGAAGATTATACTGCGGAAGGTTCTTAAACAGCCTGAAGTCTCGACTAAAGGTCTTCAGACCCTCTCAATCTGAATCTCTAGCGGGCGACTAACCTCCACCGGAGTAGACAGATTAAGGCCCTAAGAACAAAACCTCCACTACCGGAGTAAATCCGGTACAGAATAGTGAGTTGGTTCCTCGACTAAAGTCACCAACTCTCTACCTTCAATCAAGGATACTCTATTAACCTAGGCATATATTCTCATTCTAGGTTAAAGCAGAAACAACAGGAATTTGATCAGGATTCAAGTCATTCAATCATTAAAACCTCAATCGAATATAATCAATCACAGAATCAGTACTTGGGTTCATACAATCAAAGCCTAACATACAAATCTAGGGTTCTCCATACCCAGATGAATGGGAGAACTACTCCATAGAGAAGAAAACAAAAGCAGAATCAGACACGGAATTCATACTGCGAAGGATGGATTCCTGCTTCTGGACGTTGATCGGCACTTCTCCAAGCTCAAGCTGGCCTCCAATGGTGTTGAAGATCAATCTAGGGCACTTGGGAACTCTTGATCGTCACTTTCTCTCTCTAGGAATCGCTCTCTTTCTCAAAAACCCGAATCCTCTCGAATTGTGGCTGAAATTCTGCTTAAAAGGAGAAAATCCCGACTCACACGGCCAGGGTGGCACGGCCGTGCAGCTCACCCAGTTGCCCGTGTGAGTCAAAACGCATCGTTTCATTTAGTTCGAATTCCAGGCTCTTTGCACGGCCAGAATGGCACGGCCGTGTGGACATCCCCTCTTGCCCGTGTTTGCTCTCGCAGAATGTGGCACGGCCAACCCGGCCACTAGCACGGCCGTGTCGATCCTCTGCTCTGCCCGTGTCTGCTCTCGGCGAAACTCGCACGGCCAGGCCATTCCTTCACACGGCCGTGTGAACATCAGGGCAGCCCGTGTGACCTCCTTTGCGACTTGCCTCGCGCCCGAACTTCGCCCAATCGACCCCGAACTCGCTCCTAAACCTTCATTCACTTGCCAAGACCTGAAATATCACAAACAAGCACAACCTAGCGTGAAATCGGTCTAAAACACGAGAAACCACCTCTCAAACGGTGTAAGAATAGGGGTGAAAACATGTGTAACTAACGGTCTATCACCTCTAGTAGCTCTGGCTAATTGGTAGTTGACTATTAGTTGAGAGTTTCTTTTGCTTGTTGGTTTAACTCAGGGAGAGTTTTTTGGTACTGTTGGATTGTTTGCTGGATTGTTTGCTCTCAGGGAGAGTTTTGACTGTTGTTTGATGACTTGAGTTTGGTCCTGTTTATTCCCTATCTTTCTGCTTCCTGCCTTGGTTGTTGCTTTCTGATTGTTTTTGCAGGTTCTCAAGCAATCGACAATATCAGACTTAGGGAGAGATTGTTGAAATGGTAAGTCTGATATCGTCAATCTCTCTAGACCGTTGCAGGCTGCTCAAAAGGGGAAAGTGCTCATTCTGCGAATCTGATTGATTCTCCTCCAACGGCTAGCTCTGCTCTTTATAAGCTTTGGTTCTTCCAGGAGTAATAGCACTTTTGTGTGGGAAAAAGCTAGAGGTATAGGTCTGTGCTTTGAGTTACAAAAGGGTTGACAGTGTAGGGGTAAAGGTTCTATACTGTGGTGGCTGAACTGGATCGGGTAGTGATTCAGGGGTTTTTCGATTTTTTCTTCTTTCATAATAGTCTACTGTAATTGTGTCATTTCGATTCATAAAACTAAATAGAGTCTCCTGGGGTCTGTGATCCTGGGACGAGGAAGTAGCCATTGCACAAGGGTGAACCTCATTAAAAAGATCGTGTGTACTTCCTCTCCCTTTACTCTGTTCTTCTTCCTTGCTGCTGATTCATTCTGTAAATCGTGTTCTTCAGAGAAGAACTAAGCTGACCTGGGTCAGAGGATTAAGGCCTGAGTTGGACTCAAGTCCATATTCTGATTTCATATACCTTTGGGCCCATTTAACTGTTTTGAGCCCACCCGAGGGTTGAAGTTGAGAGTTCAGCAATTGACCTCTCAAATCTGTGTCTTCAACCCTTCCCTGCTCGAACCAAAATCCCCAATTTCTCTGTTCGTCATTTTCTTGCTATACCCTAACCTGATTTCACACTCTACTATCCACTCTGTTATACAAAGCTACAGGGAATCCATCTTTACATCTCAAAATAACTTCAAGGCCACTATAATGCTCTCTATGGGTTGTTTGGATGAGGGATTGTGTTGCAGGATTTGTCCACAATCCTTCACCTTCCCGGATTTGGTCACAATCCTACGTTTGGAAATGCTAAAAAAAATGAGATTTTAATCATGAGAGATTTCGAAAACCTGCAAATGTAGGATTTGAAAATAGCTGATGGGGATCAACTATTTCAAAATCCCTCACTATTCTATTTTTTCTTCCAACTATTACCCCTTTCTGCCCGCTTCTTCTTCTATCGTCACCACACCACCGCCGACCTTCTTCCTCAACTCCTCCTGCCACAACTCTTCTTCCCCTAAGCCGGCCGGCAAACCCAGAACCCAAGAAGATCCCCACTGCAATCAACCTAGGCGAACCCAAGCACCCATCATCTCAACCGCCATTGATGAACCCATCCCAATCTGGGTTTTTAGGGTTTCAGTTTCTGGGGTTTGGGATTCTGATTCTTCATGGGTTTGGGGTTTCAATTTCTGGGCTTTGGGGATTTATTCGTGTTGGGTTTTGATTTTGTGTCGGCCACAGGTTGTTCGATTTTCATATTAGTGCTTGCTGTAGTTTGTGCTTGCTTATTGAGGAAGAAGACTGCGGCAGAGAGGCATAAGAATGGCAACGAAGGAGAAGCATAAGAATGACAGGGATTTTTTTGTAATTATGATTATCACTTACAAATACCTCATTCACATCCAAACAAGAAATTTTAATCAAATAACTAATTTAAATTTCCTGGTTTTTTAAACGAGAGATTTGGGACCAAATCCCTCATAAATCCCCCGTATTAAAATCCTCCATCCAAACGGCCCCCTAGTTAATTTGTGAATGCTCTAAGTTGATGTTTATCAGGGCTAGGCAAGCTCTAGTCATATTGTAAAATCGAGTCAGTTCAGTCACCCGCAAAGGAAATGGGAGTCTACACTACCCAAGTTAGCAGAAAGCTGGACTAGAAAGATAGAACTCCTGCATCACTTGTGACAAAGCATAAACCTTTCATCAAATACCCAAAACTTGAAGTTCATTAGGTCTTGCAAGGGTCTAACGTATACCTGCCAGAAAGGAAACAACATTGTTCGGAGCTAATTCGATAATTAAAAATGACAATACAGGGAGCCGACGTTTCCAACAAAACATCTAACTCTCAGTCTGCTCCCTCAACCGGCGGATGGTACTCCTCACAGTCACAGCACTTGCGGTGCTGCCAAAGAAAAAACACAACACTAGCATTAGATCCCTCGCTTTCAATTTCAAGATCAAACGGGGCTCACATTTTGACACAAGGGAGGGGAGCTAAAGTCTTACTTCATGGTGTAAGCACCTCCTGCTTTGACCTTGCCACAATCCTTGCACCCCCAGATACCCACTGCCTTTCTCTTCACAGCGTCCTGGCAAAGCAGAGAATGTTCCCATCAATATAATGTTCAATGATGAAGACGAAAACAACAGCAAATACAGCAAAAAGATAGCATCGTCATTCAGTACCTTGCCACAGAACTCACAGAAGTACTTCCTGTGTTGGCTAACCTCCATCTTCTTAATCTGTTTCCTCAGACTAGCACCATAACGTGTACCTGCATCAAAAAGAGTACCAGAAAACATGACCTTGCTATCTAAGACCTCCCGAAAGGGATGAATCACAACAAACAAAAGAAGAAGAAAAAAACTGCATTGCAAGAGCCAACCAACTACAAACATTCGACCAATTGCCCAAAACCTAAAACTTGAAACCATGTCCAACTTCTAAGCCACATCCATTTTCCTTGCTGAGGTGCAGCAAGAACAAAGCACCGGAAAAGGTTCCAGTAATAAGAACGTACCGTATTTGCCGACAATACCGACCTTCTTGGTTCTCTTGGCCTGCAAAAAAGAAAAGAAACAGAAACAATTGACTCAGCTAGGTCATTAAACGATAAGTGGGGGGAAAAGTCAAATCCTTTCGCACAACATGAAAGCAGGTGATGGAAGAACATATCATAGCTCTCATATATTGCCTCGCCTGGGCTACCCATCTAAACAAAATCAATTTCATATGAACCTAAGAATGAAACAGAGTCTCCGACGCCATAGATCGATAGTAGGAACCGTTTAGATGGAATTGAACCCACTTCCATGGATGCGAAAGTCAAATGAGTATGAAAACGACAGAAATCAGAAGGATTCGCAGCAACATACCATGACGGACGGCGGTGAGAGAGAGCAGCAGAACAGAAACCCTAGGTGGGACTGGAGAATACGAAAAAGAGAACGGCGAGTTTATTAACTACATATTAGGCTTAATAACATAAATGCTCACTATAATTTTAGGTTCTTCATAAACCGGACACTGGACTTTTGAGTCTTAACGAACCTGTCTGCAGATTCAAGGCCTGGGCCGACTGAGGGACATGGAATTTCAGTTTCTGTCAACCCCTAACGGGTCAAGTTCATAAGCCCATAAAATAGGCCCAGTTTATGAAAAAGCCTCAACCTTTTGGACATCTACTTAGGAGTTAGGATGGCAACAGGTTTCGGTGGGTTTCGGTTTTCATGTCATTTTCGAATCACGGTTTTAAAATCGTACCTATTCTTGCATTTTTGTTTTTTTCTTTTTGATAATACCTCACACGGATTACCAAGAAATCAAAGACATCAAAAGTCACAAACCTAAAAGGAATCAAGACCGAAAATCGAAACTAGCATCAGTCACGAGTGACAAAAAAAGGAATTTTCTAGCCACCACATGTGTTATCCTATTGCTTATCCTGCTAACAAAAGCCACCAAGAAAGAGTGGTACTGTGCACGCAACTGGCTAATCTCTTCCAAAATCACCCCACCACGAACATCCTGCATCTCCTCGTTCTGGATTTTATCAATCACCACTTGCGCATCCCACGTAAAATCGCACCTCAGCTAATGCTATCAAAGAGCATCACCGAATTGCATCATAAAAAGCCACTAGCTCGACCGAAAAAGGATCATGCAAACCTGCATGGAAAAACCTTGCACATACAAAGTATTACCTATCACATCCTGGACCACCATTTCACTTGTTGCATGAGACCCAACTATAACAACAACATTCACAAAGCACGTGAGACCGGTATTCACCACATCTTTGACCAAAAACTATATATGTCATCCCTCAATGACCTACTTTACTAGCATCAAAGCCAGCCACTCCGACACTTGAGCATTAAACTGGTAAAGTAAAAATCCTATAACATATTGAATATGGTAAAAAAAAAACACTCAATTTCCTGCCTTCCAGATGCGCTAAAGCAATGCCACCAACCTCATGATTCGCGCATCATCAACCTCCCTTTCCACTATTTGACGAAAGAAAAGAGCAAAATTAATCTCCTCCACCCCTACTCTCTATGGCATTAAATCCGAATTCTCCCACGACCATGCCACAATCCGACAATGAAGAAACATGTGCTTCAATGTCTCCAATGATTCCCAGCACACCGTCTAATGGACCATGCACTGAACACCTTTCTCCCTTAAGGTATTTGTAATAGGTTAGGTAACCAGTTCGTGGAGCGGGAGCGTGAGCGAGAGCGTGAGCGCGAAAGCGTCTATTTGTTAAGAATTCAATATCGAGAGCGTAAAAAGAGCATTAATAATTATATTATTTTTTCAATATATATTAATTATGAGGCTTAAAATAAAATAAAAGTATTTATTTTTTACATTCCATTTGATAAGCTGGTTAAAAAATAATTAAATATTGTATAATAAAAATGTTTATGAAAGAACCATTAGGTTTACTAAATTAGGATAGTCGTATCAATTGAACCTTTTCAAAAGCATGGTTTAATTTCATGATTTAGGGGTGGGAATCCAATTAATAAAAACTAATAATCCTTATCTTTTATATGCAAACAAATAGCTCTCCACGGCACCACTTTAATCTCCATCACTCATCTCTTATCCATCTCTCTAAACAACGACCATCCATCTTCCTCTGTTTTCAATCGGTGGTTGACGACAAACATCAACGTTTGGATATTTATCCTCCCTCTCTCTATTCTTGTTCTCTGCTTTCAATTCGTGAGTGAGAGAATCAATCGAGAAGGAGAAGGGGAATCAATCGATGCAACTACTCTCTTCGTAGGCAACTATCCCTCATATCCGCCCAAGATAAATCAGAATTGGCGTCAACATTCAGCAGCTACGGGACTGCCTTTCTTTGGTATTCCATCGTCTGCTTGTAGTAGCAGCAACGCATCGCATGAGAAGAAAGTTGATTCATCATTGGGAACTGAGGTGTCTAGGTGCTTTTCTTCTAGTCTTCAAGGCTCTTTATTTTGGGGCGTATATACTTGGGCTCCGGGAGGGGGAGATGTAAGAAAAATTACCAACTTGACCCTTAGTCCAAGTATTATATTTGGTTATTTACTAAAATTCCCCTTCGGAGGGAGGTGTGGATTGTTAGTATTGAAACTCCAAGCAACATATGGGGGCGGGAGCGTGGACGCTGGCTGACGGCGTCCCCGAGTAAAATTAGTTGATCGCGGTCAGCGATGGGGACATTGGAACGCCAGGAAAAGTCTGACGGAAACATCAGTGGGCCAACAGATGCAGTTGCCGCTGCCAGGATAACCATGGGGAGATCGGGCTCCAGAAAAATTAATTCGCGCTCCCATTAGTTTCAGTTCGCGAATTATAGAAGACTTGTTGAAAGTTTGCGTTTTGCCGCGCTGGAGCGGGAGCGGTGAGCCTTGAGGCACGAATTAGGTTATCTAGTTATAGGCAGAATCCGCGTCAACGCCTGACAAAGTAAGAGCTTGAATATAGGTGGAATAGGAAACCCCCAACTCTTTTGCAGAACATGCGATCAAAAAATGACACATCTTCTTTCAAACTCGGTTGTCTTTGACTTATCTCCATCATCAGATGATACACGGATCTGACTGTATACTCCCTAGAAGCTTCCTCCTGCCACACTAATTGATTCATAATTTGTAGATGTGGCAATTGAATTTCCCAAATCCTGAGAACAATATCTTCTGGGAAGCATTGCCTTAGGCACTCCACACACCAGCTTCCCGTATCCACATTAATCAGAGCCTCCACTACCTATCCCTCCTACAAGATATTTATCGATGGTAGTGCAACCTCCCGGCCCTGCAAGGAACCAAGAATTCATTTATCCTCCATAATTATTGTCGTCGCTCATGTACCTATTTGTCATCCTAACTCTTCAATCAAAAGGTTCCCAACTCTTCAGAATTCCTTGCCAACCCCAAAATAGGCATGACCTCCGTCCTGCTTCCAAAAATTTTGTCCATGGAAAATGCTTTCCAGCAATGAATCGAACTTCTTCCAAATCTGTCAGTCAAGCTTTGACAGTACGGCTAGAAGCTAGATTAAAAGTCTCAAACCGTCTAAATCCTAACCCCCCATCATGCTTACTTTGACATAAATTCATCTAGCAAGCCCAATGAATCTTCTCCCCCTCCGGTAAGAAATACCACCAGAACCTCACTAGAAGTTTATCTAACTTATGACATGGGGTTACTAGTAACAAGAAGCATTCATCTATGTACTCGTCATCGATTTTATGGGAAAATTTGCCACTTTTTTGTTCAACTGCAGATCCAGCTCCCCGACCCGAAATAACTTAGTGTAAAATTCACCAGCAATGGACGCCTTCTGTACCTCCTTTATCACCCACTGTCTGTCCTTGTCCCATAGCCCGTCAATAAAATTTGTTTTATTTCTACTATGAGTAACCATATGGAAGTATGAGGTATTCCGATCCCTTCCCGAATCCAACGAACTCTTGCGTTTTAACGCTTGGAAATTTCTTCTGCCACCCACCGCTTTGATATTTTATCTTCCAATTCGCCTATCTAATCCCAACCCACATTCCCCTTCCCCTTAAGACTCTAGATTTCATTCTGCAAAATCCTGATATTTCTAGTAGAATTACACGTCCCCGAGATGCTCCAATCGTACAATAAATGTCTTAAAGCTTTCAAATGAGACCAGAACCTGTACATGGGCGACCCTTCACACGGTTGATTCCATACATATTTTACCATAAGCAGGACTTCCGAATTATCAACCTATGTCGCATCAAATCAAAATAGAGGGTGTGCCACTTGAACATAAGGCTTATCTGTCATAATCATGATTAACCATATTTTGTGGGAACCTATCCATCCACAGCAATGAAGTCAATACTCGGTCGAGTCTCTCCCTCACTCATGATGAACCCACCCACCTATTCGTCCAAATGAATTGTGACCCTTCAAAGCTCTCATCCTACAACGCGAGTTGGTTTATGATGTCTCAAATTGTCATGGAGGTCTGAGGATCCCATGGCAACCAACCATCCTTTTCAGCTGTCGTCAAAACACAATTCATATCCCTAAAAAATGTAAGGGATTAATATTTATTGACAATACAGTTTCACCACATTTACTTGTTGGGATCGAATATTAGCATCAGAGGAGAAATCCACAAACACCACCACATAACGACTACTATCAATATTATTATTTTCAACACCACAAGTGATTTGAACATAATTGATGGTCAAATACCCCTTTGTTCGATGCTAAAATCTTCATTTGGGATATTGAGACCACTTCTAGTTGGGTTTTTCCACCTGATTAGTAGTAATAGTCTCCTGCACATTTGACTCTTCAAGACACAACTTCCTAATCAGAGTCGGGTTAAACTAAATGTTCTCCATCTCATTTGCAGGCTGCTTACGCTCCTCCACTCCTCCTTCTTCATGAACAACCATCATGAAAACCTCCTTATAGTTCCTTCCTCCTTGTAACTTCTTTTCACAACATGTTCTCCATGTTATTCATTATAGTATTTGGCAGCTAATTGTGCCCACACAAAGCTTTTGCTTCATGCACCTTCTGTCTCTACCCTTCCACGTCTCGCATCAGATGATCCTGGTTCAAATCATTTCCATGCCAGTAGCTCTGTTTCTCCTTTGGCAACAAGTTTGTTACTTCTATCGTTACCAGAACCAACCATTCGATACTTCTCCATCTTTATATCACGTCTCCCCTCCTTAGCTCAACCACTGTGACTCTGTTCTAGTAGAAGGTCCCTTCAGCTTCTACATATTTGCGGGTAGGTTAGCCTTATCCTTCTCGACTGGGATTTTAACACAACTGAGTGCCCCTGTTCAGCCTCCCCTATCTTATTCATCACTTCCTCCTTTCTCGGTGCCGCTCCTTCAATCGCCACTTCCTTCTTCCTCGGTGTCGCACCTCCAATTGTCGGATTAACCCAATCTATTTTTTGGGTTTGCGGCAGCAAATGTAAGGGGATTAATGATTGCTCCCCGATCGATGCCCAATAATATTTGTTGTTAACTTCAGTCCATAATGCTCAATCCCAGTCGGATCAGGAAAGCTACAATTTGGCGTTGTGTGTCCCAACCGCCCACAGTGGTAGCATAAGAGCGATAGAAATTCATAAACCAAAGTAACCCAAAATTTCCCTACCATAGGGTTAGTCGCAAAAATTTGGGATCGTAGAGGTTAAAGGACATTCACTATCACTCAGGTCTTGATGAAGTGTCTCAGTTCTCCCCCAATTGTAAAATTCCCACCATCTAGGACCTTGTCCAATTTTGCGCCAGCCACTCTGTCCAAAGGTCACCATTCTACAATGAGTTGGAATGCCCCACATCTGAACCCAAAAACGGACATGAATGAAGGAATCCACCATTGCCAGCGTGATTGGGGTCTAGAGATGGAGATGTAAAGCACGACCTTTCACCAATCATGGGGATCGTTAGAGAATTCAGTCTCTATCTGTTTCATCAACAAAAAAGAAGTGCAACAATCCATCTCTTCTTCCAAAATCATAAATTGCAGAGCATTTCCCATGCTCCATTGACTATCTTGCCAATCACATATAGGATTGGAGGATTCTCCATGAACAGCCTACCCAAGAGACTCAATTTGGCCCATTGCATGCCAGAAGCAGTGTCCTTTGCTGAGAATTCAACCACCTGATCTTCCCCCGCTGATTGATGAATAGCCACAGATGTAGCCATTGTTCCCTGTGATTTGAAGTACTGGATTAACCAGTGTATGATGCCAACAAAGCAAGCTAACCCTATGAAAGGGAAAATCCACATTCAAAACAAGCTAAATAATAAGAGCAGAAATAGGCTTATCTCATCAACAAACTCTCTATGTCTCCTTTTGATTTTGAGATCACACATCGATATTTCTCGCTGAGTTGCGGTATATGTTGAGCCATTCCCTACTCGAAATCAAGCCTTTATTGTTAAATAGATCCAATTCACTGTGAGGCGAAGCACCCTATTCTAAACAGGCTCCTGGTTCATATCAACTCCATTCTTTTTCTAATTTCCATATACCTATTGAGATAATCCAATCCCCTAGATAATTTTTTTTTTGCTTAAAACTCGGTAGCCTCCACACCGGGATGTGCTTTGGTAGAAATTTTTGTGGATGAGTTCGAGACTAATCAAATTCTCCTCCAACGATTCTATAGTCGTTGATTTGACGTTAGTACCAATTCATCCGAACGTCGATTAGACGTCGTTCACCTCTAGGTCTATCGTAGAAACACTAGGAGGCTCCCTCTGCTTGACGAGGGTGACGATACATGCAAAGAGAGAGAGAGAGAGAGAGAGAGAGAGAGAGAGAGAATTCCATATCAACATTTTTTTATTAGTTCATCAAATTGGAAAGTCGAACTATCCACAAAATCAAAATTGCGCGGGAATGTAATATCTCATACCAATGGCAATACCAACCACTATGTGGTTCGGGAAAAACCCACCTACACCATCTCCGAACAATAATATATAATTTTTTTAATGTCAATGTAAAATTAAGTTTCTTTGTCACATTGAAGAAATTGAACAAGAAGTCTAAGAGATAATTATAATATTTTAGGAATATGGATGAACGAAGTGTTAAAGAAAATGAGACTAGAACATAGTTATAACTTATAACGCATATTTGTGTGGGTTCGATGCGGATACTTGCCAAACCCATTATCTTCTTTGTTGAGTTTAGAGAAATCCACCCAAAGATAATATCGGTTGGATTTTCCCCCATAAAGTGGATTGAAATTCGGTTGAACACTCATGGTGATGGGTTATTTTGCCATCCCTAATCCACTCGCTCTATCTACACTGGATTATTTTGTGATTTGGACATTTCTTGCAAACTCATATTCCATGAAAGAATTTTCCTTGACGACCCAACTCATCACTATAACTGTTAGCTTATGTCCACACATTGTAAAATTATATTGGTCGTCAAATCATAGATTTGTAATGTTTTTTATTCAAACTGAATTGAGACTTGTGATTATTGATTATTGATTATTCTTGACGTAACTTGTCTTTTTATTTTCAAAGGTACTGTGAGAAGAATAGAATACGCATGCATGTATAACATTTGCAAACATGAAATCACAAATATACGAATAAGAAATGGACGAAAGTCGGTAGTAATCGAACTCCGGATAAGGAAAAAAATTCCACTAGATAGGCGAATCTTAGAGAAAATAATTTTATTTTCATTTCAACCGACTTGTTACTAGTTACGGTTATATCAACATTTCACAACATAAGGAAAAAAAACATCGCACTAATTTAAGTCAAAATATAATAAATCTAATACATAGTAAAATGGTTCCCCAAAGCTTTTGTTGTTGCTTAGAATTGGTGAAGACCTTACCTAATTTACAATTTCATGATATTGGAAATCTTGTTCAAAATCATATCATATTCCAAATAATATTTATTGAACAAGTGAGCTTGTACTTCACCAAGTATTGTTAAAACAACATCCCACAATTTTCTTAAGTTTGGTCTATTAGCTTACATGAAGAACAATACAAGAAAACTCATATGTGATACAATATGTCCAAATTGTTCCAATTCGATTTAATACAATCTTCCATAAACCACAAGGCTTGGTTAGCATAGCATGTGCAATATTCAGACATCATGCGCTCTTGTGTTGCAGTATCTCTTGCATTCTAAAGACCATCTCTTTTGCCTCCATCTTGTTCCTCGCGTAGACTCTTCTGCACAATTCCCTTCATAATTCACTAATGACAAAGTTCCAGATAATCCTGTCTATTTTGTTGTCTTGAAAACATGTCATAGCTTATTGAAATCCTTTTTGCTATCCATCCATTGACAAGTATCCCCAAGCAGCAGAGGAAACAACTTTCAGAAGCTGCTTATCTTACAACACATGTGAAGAAAATGTGGTCTCTTGATTATAGGGAACTGAATAGAGGGGAAACAGTTTCCGTTAAAGAGTTTTCCTTAATGTCTTACCTCATCGATGTAACTTTGATGTTATGTCCACACAATTTAAAATTATATTGGTCGTGAAATCATACATTCATGGCCTGAAGTATGTAATAGTAAATTTGAGGGAGGACTGGGATTCAGAGACTTCGATCGATTTAACATAGCATGTTAGCTAAACAAGCCTGGAAACTACTAATAGATACTGATAATACTCTGGCAAAAATATATAAAGCCCGATATCACCCTAACAACCACTTCCTAAATGCGAGAGCTGGATCTCGTCCCTCTTGGGCTTGGCAAGGTATCCTTGAAGGGAAGAACCTCCTTAAAAAGGGCATGCGATGGCAAGTGGGATCAGGGTCCTCAATATACATCCTATAGGATCCGTGGATACCTTCAGATCCACCCTCATACCCAATCTTGAAGACAGGTATGACCTTAGAAGGTCCAGTAGTTGCCTACCTTATCGATCCAATAATGTTTACTTGGAACTCTAACAAGATTCGATCTTTATTCTACCCAGCTTCTGCCGAACTAATTCTGTCCATACCTCTTCCCTCATATCCTAGGGAAGATAGACTCATATGGCACTATGATAAATCTGGTCAATATACAGTGAAATCGGGGTACCACCTTTTAACAAATGAAATTAACTCATTTCATATCAGTATACCAGACTACTTGGACACAAAATTTTGGAAATCATTATGGAGTATACCAGTGCCACCAAAACTGAAATTCTTCCTTTGGAGGATAGTTCGGGGGTTCCTTCCTGTTCGCAAAACTCTACAAATTCAAAAATTGACTACTTCGTGCGAATGTCCAGTGTGTTGTGAACCAACCGAGGACATTAATCATTGCTTTTTTGAATGTAGGATTACAAAAGAGTTATGGATCATGGCTGGATTGGAACATCGTAGAAACTCAATACGCTCCCTCCAACCAGATCTGGCATGGAAAAATCTATTATGTGCTACTCACATCTCCAAGATTGAGATTGCCGATACGGTTTTCCTATTCTGGCGAATCTGGAAAGGAAGATGCAAAGCTACTTATGCTTTAGTATTACTTCAAGCTCGAGTTTTGTTCAGACAACTAACAGCGCATATAGAGGAATGGCGAACGGCGGAGGGACAGAAAGCTCGGCAACCCACAGGTGCTCAGAGATCATCGGCGAACCCTAACAATCAAATAGGATCTCGAAGGAGTCATCCAGATGCCATATGCCCTAATAATGGTATCCTTGTGAGATTTGACGAAACCATGAAGAAAAACCAAGGAGGCTCAATCGGATTTGCAGGATTCTCGAGAGACGGTACGTTATCCTTTGCTTTTGGTAAATATTATGAAGGTATTTCGGAGGCTTACATTTCCGAGCTTCTAGCTCTTAGAGATGCTATGAGATGGTGCTTAACACATAACTTTTTGGTGGTTGCATTTTGTGGAGATGCTCAACTGGTTATCAAGCACGCTATGGCAAAGAACGCTTCTCATTCTCGAGCAGGGGCTGTCTTGGAGGAAGTTCACTCCTTTTTCTCCCTTTTTGAGTCAGTGTCGTGTCTTTTTGCTCCTCGGAGCTTTAACAGAGCTGCCCATGTAGTGGCTAATCAGGCTCTCTCATCGGGAATCCGCTTGCTTACGGATTACCGTCCTTTTTGGAAGCTACTTGTACCTGAGTCGAGTCTTTGTCCCATGCCCTCTAGGCTTGCCTTGGAAAAAAAATCATACATTCATAGTGTTTTCTTCATTCAAAGTGAATTGTGATTATTGGTTATTCTTGACATAGTTTACTTTTCTTTTTTGCTATAGATATTGTCATGATAAGTATGAATATATAACCTTTGCATATACATACTACACTCGTCAATCAACAATTCTATACTTTATATTTGAGCTAAATGCTAATATGCAAGATCTAAGAGAAAACAACACCTTTACAAACTCATTTATAGTATATTTATCTTGTTTTACATTGTCTTTTATATTAGTTTCGGTTCATATTTGGTTTTATGATTTGTTTTGGTTTCAATTGACTCTAACAAACTCAAAGCACCTCAATCTCAAACAATTTTCCAAAAGAACGTAGCTTTCACTTTAATATAGTGGGATTTGAAAGACCATGTGGGAATATGATATTGGTAGTCTTCGTACCTACCAGTTCTTCTATATCTAGGACAAGAAGTTCTCTCAACTAATGATGATAATAAGAAAAATTTATATAGTTAACCACTTGCCAACGGTTCCTATTATAAGGCAACTTCATCTTTATCATTGACAACAATATCACCCAAAAAAATTAAGACCATGTACTAAGTTGTGTGTTTAACCTTTAATCTCTCTGATTTTGTCTTCCACAAATAAGATTCAGCGGCTCCCTACCACCCAACACTGACCTTTTCCTCCAATATATAAATGTAAGCCTAACTTTAAATGAATTTTCCTCTAGCTAGACCCAAAAATACTGTCTCTTGTCTGTAGATTTCTCTCCTCTCTGTCTCTCTCAATCTCATCTCTGTGTGTGTGTGTGTGTGTGTGAGAGAGAGAGAGAGAGAGAGAGAGAGAGAGAGAGAAAGAGAGGGGAGAAATCTTGACATAGGGGAAAAAATATATCAGTATTGTTATTGCTCTTATCAATGTTGTAACAATACGGTTTCAAAAAGTTCATCAGAGCAACAATAATTAGAGGTTAAAGAAGAACATCCAACACATTCTGGATTTGAATATTGTTGGAAAGATTGACGAGAAGCGAGAAGGGAAACCGAGCAGTTTCTGAATGGACATGACACCTCCGCCCCCAAGGTCACCACCATCTGCACATCTACCATCGCCACTGGGGCACCATGACCACCATCATGTGAGGCGCCCGGCGGCGTTGGCACCTCCTCCTCCTCCTCCTCCGAAGCGGCAGCGAGACATCAATTCCTTGAAGGTGTGGTGGAATTCACCGAATTCTAAGAGGAAGAGGAGGGTGGCGAGGTACAAGCTTTACGCCATGGAGGGGAAGGTGAAGTCTTCTTTGAAGAAGAGTTGTCGTTGGGTCAAGCAAACTTGCTCGAGAATCATCTCTGGCTTCTAATGATGATCAATTGTTATTTTCTTACCAATTCAATGTGGTTATCTATACTAAGTATATGATCAATTTTCCTATCTATGAATTTGTTCGGGGAGGTTTTTAACAAGAAGTCATAGAGGAAACATAGATGGATTAATGTGCATATACTGTATCTCCGATTTATCCAGTAATGATAATACACATTTTGGGTTGTGCAATGGATCATGAGCTCTCACCATCATATATATATATATAACTGCTTTATTTGTGAGTTCAATCTATAATGTTACAAATAAGTTATAACGAGGTGGGAAACACTCTATGTCTCGTTAACCCTTACCGATATTTGGATAGAATTTATATTGGATCGTCTATTCTTCGATTTAGTTTCATTTCAAGTATCCTTTCAAAATACAGTTAAAATCAAACTGAATCCAAGTAAGATCGAGTTGAGTCTGACAAACACACTTCTAGTACATTATGTTTATCACTTCTCCTTATATTTGATTAGCGCATTCTTCATTGGAACCATATATGGTTGGATGGACTACATCAAGTCCTATTGATATAGCATTTTCCTACCTACCAACACTTGTCATTCACGGAAATATCGTAATAGAAGAAAGGAAAATTTATGCCCAAAGACTCCCATGCTTTCTGTTGGTTAACAACCAACCAACCACAGCTTCTTAACTACTCTGAGGATGACCAAATTGGTAACTAGTTTGGTGTCCGACGCGATGGTCGAAATGTCAGTTGAATACCATGTATCCTAAACTTTTAAAATTATTTGAAATGATTAATTTCATATCACATTAAGGTGACAGAGAAAATTATTTTCAGTTTTTTAAATTATTTTCAGTTTTTTAAATTCATGACCTGTCTATTTAATGACGCAGTCAGTTAATTGTCTGTGCTTGAAAAGTATATGGACATAACAAAGAAAAAAGTTTTTCTCGAAAAGCATATCATAATAAATAGGAAACAGATAATCATAATCTTTACTCAATATTTGTTTCTCTTGCTTTAAAAAACAATACATATATATATATATATATATATATATATATATATCAATATCTAAATCTAAAAGTATTCTAAACAATGCAATAAAAAAATTAATAAGAAAATAGCATTCCCCATCCATACTCTATCTCATCAAAAAATGTTTGTCAAACAACATACTCAAAATGTAGTTGAAGAGCAATTTTATTCCCTCATCAAATGAAATAAAACCTCTCTTTTGGTGTCCACCTTGCTAATGCATATAACTACATCAATGCGTCCATGAAAACTCCAGACCCAGTTCATGATTTGCCTTTTACTACGATTATTTTATATTAAACCAAATAACACGGAAGGATACACATGGTTAATTATTGTATAAGATAAAAATAATTAAATAAGTGAAATAATCTACAAAATTGGTTTTTAAAAATTTTGTTCTTTTAAAATCACCCATGAGTTCAATCATGTTTGGATTATTGATTCAAAAGATCAACCAACTAAAATTTTCAAAGAACTTGTCACTTATCGTTTGTACAAAAACTATTGTTATTCTATAATACTTCTAAAAATCAATACTAAGTTAAGAATTCTACATCACTTCTACACATTCGATACTGTTATTCAATATGCAATATTCGAAACAATGATATTTGGGTTGTAATTTTGAAATTATATCTCCATTAATAAGATAGACATAAATTAAACTAATTATTAAATTCAAATTAATAAAATCAAAATATGAAAATGAAAATATCAACCACCAAAGAAATACTTACAAGAAAGTTCGTGGGCTAGCTAACTGTAGTGGAACACAAAACTATCTTTCCTACTTTCGCTCTCGTTGCAGAAAATTTGAAATATTGAAAAAATGTTCACAACTCTTCTATATTATATTTGTTGGTGATTGATGTTGATTACTAATTAACTTGGATGCTAATGCAGAGAAGAGACTGGGATAGTTCAGACTAAACACAATGTGACCGTTTGCACCTGTAGGCCACAACTGAGTTGGCTGATTGTATTGGTAATTAACCTTATTAGTGGGCCAAATCAATAACTATTGAACTATGACAAGAATGCCCAAGTGTATTCATAATGGGCCGTCAACTAGCTCGGTTTCCGCTCTCACCCTGGAGCCAACAAATAAAAAATAGTGCAGGAGATATTTCACTATTCCCAGTTCCCACTGTTTTAACTTTCCGTTCTATATCAATCGCCATTTTTGAATTTTAACCTTTTCAGCTAAGCTCCAAAGTTATTAGAACATGCAATTCAAGGTCGGAGGCAAAAAAATGGCCAAGAAAGATTTGGATTTGGAGAAATTATGATTGTTAAGTTTGGCGCTCAATCTCGGCTTTGACGAACAATCAATCAACAGGTTCTTGTGTTAAACAAACAAAAAGATTGGAACAAAAAGACGATCGACACCGAGTTTATGTGGTTTCCTCGTTTAGGAAGAACGAGACTAGTCTACGACTGAAGCAGTTGTTCTTCTTGTTACCCAACACACAACTTACGCTTACTCTCACCCTCTCTGTTTGGTCATCAAATTGAAGGTGAAGCCTCCTCTAGTCCCAAAGGGAAGACAAATTTGTACATGACAATATATATATGCCTACACCCCGCAACCCTAACAAGACTAGCCAAGCTCTAGGAGGAAAGGGAATCTCTTGGCCATTAGTCCATTACACATGCATACAATGGGTTTAAGCCTAATATCATAATCGTCATATAGTTCAACAGCCTCCCCCAAATTGATGGAGGTCTCGCACCATCAATTTTTCAGCGAGATAACTATGCCGACTTGCAGTGAATGCCTTCGTCAAAAGATGTATAATATGTGCAGTGTACCATCGCAAACCAAGTCTCGAATGTAGTGGACATGCACCTCGATATGCTTAGTATGATCATGAAGAACATGATTAGTCACAATGCGAATGACACTCATATTATCAACTTAAAGCTGCATGGGAACATCATACTGTACGCCACAATCCCCCACCAACTGCTGAAACCACTCAAGCTCTGACGTTACTTCGGACATGGAACGATACTCAACTTCAACGGAAGACTTCGAGACTTTACCTTGTTTCTTGCACCGCCAAGATATAAATGAACCACCGAGCCGAACACACCAACCACCCGTAGAGCAAAGAGTGTCAATACAACCTTCATAATCAGATTCAAAGAAAGTCTATAGTGTCAACGACCTGTAACAGGTAAAAATACCCCAACCTTTTGAGTCCTCTGCAGGTACCATAGAATCCGGTGAACAACATCAAAATGACTAGTTTGAGGAGATGACATGAATTAACTCACGACTTGAGCTGCATAGGCAATGTCAGGACGAGTAGAAGACAAGTATATCAAGATGCCAACCAAACTACGATAGTGCTTACCACCATCAGATAATAAATCACCTGTCTCCCTCCCCAACTTGAGATTTATCTTCATAGGCGTAGACACGGGAAGACAATCACCATAACGAGAAGAATCCAAGAGATCATCAATGTACTTAGATGGGCTGAGAAAGATTTCTTTCGAAGACCGAGTAACTTCCAGCCCCAAAAAGTAAGACAGGGAGCCAAGATCCTTAAGATGAAAAGACTCATGGAGGCCATTGGTAAGCGCGGCAATACCGTCATGATCATCACAAGAAACAATCATATCATCAACGTAGAGAAGTAATATAACAATGCCACGAGAGGTATGCCGAGTAAATAGGGAAGGCTCATTCCACTATGCTGGAAACCAAGTGCCAAGACAGTAGCATGAAACTTATCAAACCAGGCTGGGGGAGCCTGTTTCGAACCATAAAGGGACCACTCTAAAAGACAGACCTGATCAGACATACAATAAGGATAACCAGGAGGACGTTCCATGTAGACAGTCTCCTGCATGTCGCCATGTAAGAAAACATTCTTCACGTCAAACTGGTGTAGGGGCCAACGGCGAAGAGATGCCACAACGAGAAGCACGCAAACCGACACCATCTTAGTGACATGTGCAAATGTTTCACTGAAATCCACTCCATATTCCTGACTAAACCCCTAATCCACAACATGTGCCTCGTATCGTTCAATAGAACCATCAAGTAGCATCTTCAGATTATAGACCCACTTACTACCTACAACAGGAACCAGAGGAGGAGGTCGAGGAACAAGAACCCAAGTTTGATTAGCATGAAGTGCATCAAATTCCTCACCCATCGTTGCGTCCCATAAGGGGTTACCATGAGCCTGAGAATAACGAGTGGGTATAGGAACAAGATCCACCTGATACGAGACATAGTCTTGAAGACGAAGAGGTGGTTGGCCCTGAGTAACAAGACTAGAGCGACGAGGAGGAACGACCAGCGGGTCGAGGATGATTTGAGGAGCTGGAGACGCACTGTCAGGCAAGGATGGCACTAAGGGGGGCGGAGTGGCAGGAGGTAGGGAGTCATCATCAATGCAGTCAAAATCGCGTTTTAAAACTTAAAAACTTACGATTTTACGCTTCTAGGTCACCAAAACGCTTTCGTTTCCATGTAAAATCTTTAGTGTATAAAATCAAACTAAATTGCGCTTTGAATCTTAAAAACTTACGCTTTTATGCTTCCAGTTCACCAAAATGTTTTACGCTTTTACGCTTCTAGTTCATTAAATGGGTATTCTTTGCATGAAATTATTTATAAAAAGTATATTTTACAGGTAAATCACCAACAATATGATACATTTGAGATTCAAAAATACATATAAGGTACTTGGATGCATTCTCAACTTCAATAGAGTAAATCTAATTCACCAGCTAGGCCATTCCCAAATTCATTAGCTTAGATGGGAAGGCCGCTTATTGTTAACATCTATGTTTATGAACTTATTGTTAAGATGCTATGAGTTTCTCTGCTTTAGACATGAATTGCAGGTATGTGTTAACTTATCTAAATTTGTTGCACTCATATTTTACATAGTATATGTCATACTTAACAGATTTTTGACCATTTTACAGTATGCGTTAAAAACTTACGTTTTTACGCTTTAATTCTACGCTTTACGATTTTACCCCCTTTTCGCTTCTAGGTAGAATTGCGCTTTTGACTGCATTGGTCATCATCATCGACAACATCATCAAAATCTGAGAAGGAAGGCAAGGCTAAGAAGTGTCAAACAGGAGTGGTGACTCGGTGAACGAAGAGTAGAACATAATATTTTTCAAAAAAGACCATATTACAAGCTATACGAAGTTGACGACCGGAAGGCTCATAATAGAGATACCCCTTGTGAATGTCACTGTAACCAAGAAACATAGCGAACTGTTTTAGACATGAGCTTACTACGCTCAGAACGAGGAAAGAGGACAAAACATAGGCAACCAAACACACGAAATCGAGAATACAGAGGATGTTTCGAAAACAGTTGAAAAAAAGAGTTGGGGTGCAAA